CATAACCTGTTCTCTCCGTTCATATTCTCCCCTAGCCCTTGTAACCAAAACAAACCAAACTCGCTGCCATCGAGTCTGTTCCGATTCATAGTGTCCCTGTAGGACAGAGTAGAACTACCATAAGGTTTCCTAGGCTGTAATCTTTACAGAAGCAGACTGCCATTTCTTTCTCCTGCAGATCAGCTGGCAGGTTCACACTGCCAACCTTTTGATTAGCAGCTGAGCGCTTAACCCCTCCACCACCAGGGCTCCCCATACCACACATACAATCAGTTACCAAACCCTACTGGTTTCACTTCCTTAGTCTGTTTTTGTCTCTACTGTCCCTGCTGATGTGGCACAACTCAAAATGAGAAGAAACAGCTGCAAACATCCATGAATAATCAGACCCTGGAATGCAGGAAGTATGAACCTAGGAAAACTGGAAATCCTCAAAAATGAAATGGAACGCATAAACATCAATATCCAGGCATTAGTGAGCTGAAATGGACCGGTATTGGCCATTCTGAATCAGATAATCATATGGTCTACTCCAGGAATGATGACTTGAAGAGGAATAACGTTGCATTCAACGTCAAAAAACACATTTCAAGACGTATCCTAAAGTACAGCGCTGTTAGTGATAGGATAACATCCATTCGCCTACAAGGAAGACCAGTTAATACGACTATTATTCAAACTGATGCACCAACCACTAAGGCCAAAGATGAAGAAATCGAAGATTTTTACCAGCTTCGGCAGCCTGAGATTGATCAAACATGCAATCAGGATGTGCTGATAATTACTGGTGGTTGGAAATGTGAAAACTGGAAACAAAGAAGGATCAGCAGTTGGAGAATATGGTCTTGGTGATAGAAACAATGCTGGAAATGTCATGATAGAATTCTGCAAGACCAACAACTTCTTCACTGCAAATACCTTTTTTCACCCACATGAACAGTGACTATACACATGGGCCTCACCAGGTGGAATACACAGGAATCGAGTAGACTACATCTGTGGAAAGATACGATGGAAAAGCTCAATATCGTCAGTCAGAGCAAGTCCGGGGGCCGACTGTGGAACAGACCATCAATTGCTCATATGCAAGTTCAAGTTGAAACTGAGGAAAATTAGAACAAGTCCACAAGGGCCAAAGTATGACCTTGAGTATATCCCACCTGAATTTAGAGACCATCCTAAGAATAGATGTGACACCTTGAACACTAGTGACCAAAGACCAGACGAGTTGTGGAATGACATCAAGGACATCACAGATGAAGAAAGCAAGAGGTCATTAAAAAGACAGGAGAGAAAGAAAAGACCTAAATGGATGTCAGAAGAGACTCTGAAACTTGCTCTTGAACGTCGAGTAGCTAAAGCAAAAGGAAGAACTGATAAAGTGAAATCACTGAACAGAAGATTTCGAAGGGCGGCTCAAGAAGACACAGTAAAGTATTATAATGACATGTGCAAAGAGCTGGAGATAGAAAACCGAAAGAGAAGAACACGCTCAGCATTTCTCAAGCTGAAAGAACTGAAAAAATTCAAGCCTGGAGTTGCAATAGTGAAGGATTCTATGGGGAAAATATTAAACGACCCAGGAAGCATCAAGAGAAGAAGGAAAGAATACACAGAGTCATTATACCAAAAAGAATTGGTCGACATATGATCAGGAGTAGATGGTACTGAAGGAAGAAATCCAAGCTGCACTGAAGGCATTGTCGAAAAGCAAGGCTCCAGGAATTGACGGAATCTCAATTGAGATGTTTCAGCAAACAGATGCAGCCCTGGAAGTGCTCACTCGTCTATGCCAAGAAATTTGGAAGACAACTACCTGGCCAACTGACTGGAAGAGAGCCATATTCATGCCTATTCCCAAGAAAGGTGGTCCAATGGAATGCGGAAATTATCGAACAATATTATTAATATCACATGCAAGTAAAATTTTGCTGAAGAATGTTCAAAAGTGGTTGCAGCAGTATATTGACAGAGAACTGCCAGAAATTCAGGCCAGATTCAGAGGAGGACCTGGAACCAGGGATATCACTGCTGATGTCAGAGGGATCCTGGCTGAAAGCAGAGAGTACCAGAAAGATGTTTCCCTGTGTTTTATTGACTATGCAAAGGCATTTGACTGTGTGTATCATAACAAATTATGGATAACCTTGCTAAGAATGGGAATTCCAGAACACTTAATTGTGCTCATGAGGAACCTGTACATAGATCAAGAGGCAGTTGTTCGAACAGAACAAGGGGATACCGCGTGGTTTAAAGTCAGGTAAGGTGTGTGTCAGAGTTGTATCCTTTCACCATACCTATTCAGTCTGTATGCTGAGTAAATAATCCGAGAAGCTGGACTATATGAAGAAGAACAGGGCATCAGGATTGGAGGAAGACTCATTAACAACCTGCATTATACAGATGACACAATCTTCACTGCTGAAACTAAAGAGGACTTGAAGCACTTACTGATGAAGATCAAAGACCACAGCCTTCAGTATGGATTACACCTCAACATAAAGCAAACAAAAATCCTCACAACTGGACCCATAAGCAACATCATGATAAACGGTGAAAAGATTGAAGTTGTCGAGGATTTCATTTTACTGGGATCCACAATCAACACCCGTGGAAGCAGCAGTCAGGAAATCAAATGATGCATCGCATTGGGCAAATCGGCTGCAAAAGACCTCTTTAAAGGGTTGAAAAGCATAGGTGTCACCCTGAAGACTAAGGTGCACCTGACCTGAGCCATGGTATTTTCAATCGCCCCATATGCATGCGAAAGCTGGACAATAAATAAGGAAGACTGAAGAGTTGATGCCTTTGAATTGTGGTGTTGGTGAAGAATATTGAATAGACCCTGGACTGTCACAAGAATAAACAAATCTGTCTTGGAAGAAGTACAACCAGAATGCTCCTTAGAAGCAAGGATGGCAAGACTTCGTCTTACATATTTTGGACACGTTACCAGGAGGGATCAGTCCTTGGAGAAGGACATCATGCTTGGTAAAGTAGAGGGTCAGCAAAAAAGAAGAAGACCCTCAATGAGATGGATTGACACAGTGGCTGCAACAGTGGGCTCAAGCATAACAACAATAGTGAGGCTGGTGCAGGACCTGGCAGTGTTTCGTTCTGTTGTACACGGGGTCGCTATGAGTCGGAACCGACTCAACAGCACCTACCAAAAACAACACTGTCCCTGCTCTAATTCAAGCCCTCGTCACTCTTTCCATTTGGGTTATTGTAACAGCTTCCACTCTTGGCCCTACAATTCGTTCTCCACACAGCAGCCAGAGTGATTTTTCAAAAACTAATGTCCTCGCCATACTCCTCTACTTCAGATCCTTAGGGGCTCCCCATGATTTTTAGGAGGAAGTCCGTAGGCTGGCCATAGTCTGAACCCCCCGACCACCCTAGCCCAGTCTCCTTATTTCATTCATCTGTGCAGATTCTTTCCCCTTACAGAAGCCATCTTGCCGTTTCATTCCTGTAATCTTTTAAAAAGCTGCTCTCTTTGCCTAGAAAAACAGTCCTGGTGGCTCAGCAGTTAAGCCCTCGGCTGCTAACCCAAAGGTTGGCAGTTCAAACCCACCTAGCGGCTCCTTAGAAGAAAGACCTTGTGATCTGCTCCTGTAAAGACTGCAGCCAAGAAAACCCAGTGGGAGGGCCACAATAGGTAGACCCTGGTAGAATGGGAGAAAAATGTGGAACCAGAACCTCAAAATCCTAAAAAAAACAGATTACTAGACTGGTTGAGACTGGAGGACTCCCTGAGATTATTGCCCTGAGATACTCTTCAAACCTGGAAGTAAAACTAGCCCCTGAGTCGCCTTGTAGCTAAATTGTAAACTGGCTCGAAAAATATCGCCCGTAAGTACTGTGCTCCTTTAAAAAATCATCTATATGAGACCAACTGGTCAACAATTACTTTAAAACTAAAGGAAACAACCAGAATGGAAATAATGAAAATGTCCACACATTGTGAAGAATGTAACCAATGTCACTGAACAATTTGTGTAGAAATTGTTGAATGGGAACCTAAACTGCTGTGTAAACCAAAAGTACAATAAAATATTATTTAAAAAAAATTTAGATTGATTTAATGGAAATATTAGGTCAGCAAGCTATTGAGTAATTTAGTACACTTATCTTCTTTCCTTTTCATTTGTATTTGGTTTTTATTAAAATCGCTTTCATTAAAATCTACTTACATTAATAGATTTGTGTGTTCTTTATCCTGGTGTGACAATATTCAATTTTAAGCAAAAATAGTCATTTTCCTTCATCTGCTAATAAACAGCAAAATAAACAGGCAAAAAAAAAAAAAAGGCCAAGTGTTGGTGGGGATGTCATTAGTAAGTGTGGATGAAGACAGAGGGCCATCTAGAATTTTGCATGCTTATGATTTATCAAGATTACTAGCCAACATGAACAAATGCCTCCTTTGCCATGAGACCAGAAGTAGATGGTGTCTAGCTATCATTACTGAACATTTTTATCAAAGATTCCATAGAAAAATCCTGATCAAAAGAGGGGGAAATGTGAAACAGAACTTAAAATTCTGAAGGTGAGGAATCAGACTTTCTGGGGCCATTGATGCTGTATGAAACCCCAAAACTATTGCTCTAAGATAATCTTTATACCTTAAACCAACAATATCCCTTGAAGTCTTCTTTAAACCAAACAATAAATTAGCTTATTTAGTAAAGAATGTCTGCCTTGAGCATTGTGCTCCTCTAAAGAACTATCTATATAGGATCAAACTGGTAACAGCAACTGGGAAGGTCAGATAGGAAGCTTAGGGGGCAGTGAGTTTATGTTAATGGGGGAGGAACATTTTGGAAAAGGAGGGTGAGAATGGTTGCACAACTTGAAGAATGTCATCGGTGTCACTGAAGTGGACACGTAGAAATTGTTGAATTGGCGCATGTTCTGCTGTGTGTATTTTCAACAACAAAAAAAAAGATTACTAGCAAGCTGTCTTATAAACTATGCCATTTTTTTTTTTTTTTTAGGAACTATCCCTTCGACATAGTGACATTGTTAAACCTTGTACTATTCAAGGCCTCTGACACCAACAGAGAGATTTATGAAATTTCCATGCAGCTTATGCAGGCATGTATCATTTACTTCCTTAGAAAACTTCCACTGTTGAGCATAGAAAATAGAAATGATACTTGATTACTGATTTGTTGCTTATTCATACGCATGTATTTATTTCTGCAAGTCATTGGTGAATACGAATTGTGGCAAAACCATTGCATAATCTTCTGTAAACCTCAGAATGAATTGATATCTTTCTTTTACTACTGTATTAAAATATGCATTCATTCATTTTGTTACTGCTAAACTTTATTAAATGTAAATACTCCTGAGATATGCAGCAAATATTTTTTCACATCATTTCTTACTTTCTGGCCTCTTTTTAGATCCTTGAAGCAAAGCTTTTTGTATACTCGAAGAAAGTGGCCGAGCAGAGACCTGGCAGCATCCTGTATGGCACGCATGGCCCATTGCCCCCCCTCTACAGGGTGTCTCTGGCACTCTTGTCCTGTGAACTGGCCAGGATGTACCCTGAGCTCACGCTTCCTCTCTTCTCAGGTACCGTGCAGTAGCTCATCATGACAATACAACAGCATTTCTTCTGATCAAATGTAATTTTCCTTTTAAACACTGGAGCAATTTTGAAGTCAAAATGATGGATGCTGAATTTGCAGATCAGAATTGCTGTGGGCTAGATTAAGTTACCGGGAGCACTGGTGGCACAGTGGTTAAGCACTCGGCTGTTAACTGAAAGGTCAGCAGTTCAAACTCACCCAGCGTCTCCATGGGAGAAAAACCTGGCAATCTGCTCCCTTAAAGATTTAAAAAATAAAAAAAAACCACCATTACCATTGAGTCGATTCTGACTCATAGCGACCCCATAGGACAGAGGAGAACTGCCCCATATGGTTTCCAAGGAGCAGCTGGTGTTTTCCAACGGCCAGCCTTTTGGTTAGCAGCCGTAGCTTGCAGTAGCTCTTAACCACTGCATCACCAGAGCTCCCCCGTAAAGATTGCAGCCTAGGAACCCTATGGAGCAGTTCTCTGTCACATGGGGTCGCTATGAGTTGGAATCAACTTCATAGCAACCAACAACAACAACAAATCTAGTTATGTGTAAAAGTAAATTCTAGAATGTCTTTAAAGTGTAAAAATATGTTTGTTTAAAACAGTGTAGGTATAAATAAATATATGATAAATACAGTGATGCTTAGATTAGCACTATACGTTTACCTACATTTATGTGTAAAACGTCTCCAGAAACACTTAACCCAGGCTGTGTAACTATCGCTGCAGGTGGTTGGTTGCTGTTCCTGCTGTGGTCGCTGTTTCATAGCGTAGTCATTGCTATGTGTACAAGTTGTCGAGAGTCTGATAGTTTGGCATGTCTTTACAAACCACCTTTGTAAATAAATCTGGTGAAAATCCATTTTGAAAGAATTACGTGTGTCAATTAACTTCTTGCCTGCACTCACATAGCGACTTGCTGAGAGGCTGACTTTATTCTCTTGAATTCAGGGCTTTGAACTGGGTTAATTTCAGTTTGACCCTCTGCTGAGAATTTGCTTTTCCACCCCAGATATACTGAATCAGAGTCTACATTTTAATAAGCTCCACAGGTGATTCTCGTGTATGCGAGAATCATCTGGTGGTCTTGTTAAAATTCGTCTGTATACATAAGAATCACCTGGGGATCTTGTTAACCTGTAGATTCTGATTCAGTATATCTGGAGTGGAAAAGCAAATTCTGAGCAGGGAGTGGAACTGAAAGTAACTGGTTCAAAGCCCTGCTTGAATTCATCCACCCTTCCCATCTGTGTCACCACTGCCTTAGTCCAGAGCCTCCTCAGCCCTCCCCTACCTCTCACATCCCTCACTGCAGCCCATCGTCCAAGCTGTCATCTGCATTTACGACCTACACAACCAAAAACGACATGACACCTAGCTCAAACTTCTCTTCCCAGTTGTCCTAAAAAGAATTGCTGATAATAAGAACTTCCATTTTTGGAGTTCTTAATATATTCCAGGCTCTCTGCTAGACCCTTTATATGCATTTTACTCTTTATTTAGTCTTTCCCACTCTGGGGGTATGGTGGTTACAAATGAGGCCGTAGAATCAGGCTGCCTAGGTTCCAGTCCTGGCCCTGCCATTCACTGGCTGTTTGACTTGGGGTAAAGTCACCAAACCTCCAAACTCCGTCTCCTCATCCTCAATGACAGAAGCTCGCTGCCTCGCAGGCTGAGAGGATTACAGTGAACTGCTGAGGGTCATCGAGCACTGGCCCAGTCCTGGGTTGAGATTTTCACCACAGCCATCATCATCATCACCATCATCATCATCATCATCCCTGCTTTACAGACGAAAAGCCAAACCTCTTCGTTGCTTGTTGCCATTGAGTCTATTCCTACCGATAGCGACCCCATGTGACAGAGTAGAACTGCCCCGTAGGGTTTCCAAGGCTGAAATCTTCATGGGAGCAGATCGCCAGGTGTTGCTCCCGTGGAGCCTCTGGGTGGGATTGAACCACCTACCTTTCTGTTAGCATCCACGCGCTTAAACTGGTGTGCCACCAGGGCTCCTCCCAAACCTTAGACACTGAAATAATTGGCTCAGGACCATATAGCTAGTAAACTGCCAAGCCAGAATGAAATCCAGATCTGTCTCCCTCCAAAGCCACTGCTATCAAATTGCAACCTCTTAACCTGTAAAAAACAAACAAACAAAAAGCCCTTCTTTACCAGACAAACTTGATTTCCATCTCTTCTTCCAAAATCCTCTACTCCAGTCTCATTTAGTCTTTCGTCAACATCCAGGCCCTTTTGCAAATCTTTGCTTTTGCCCATTTTGTGCCCTCTGCTGGGAATGGCCCTTCTTCCCCTGGCCACAAATCCCAGCCTTCTTTAAGATCTACTGTAAAATCTACCTCTACTGTGAAAACAAGGAGACTTGGTGGCCCAACAGTTAAGTACTTGGCTGCTAACCGAAAGGTTGGCCGTTCGAACCCATCCAGAGGCTCTGTGGGAGAAAGACCTGGCGATCTGCTCCTGTAAAGGTTACAGCCTAGGAAACCTTATGGGGCAGTTCTGCTCTGTCATGTAGGGTCGCCATTGGTTGGAATCAACTCCACGGCCCCCAACAACAAAAAAAAACGTGAGAACCTCTCCATCTACCTTAGGCGGAGTTGGTCACATCCTTGGATAGCACCAGAAACAACTGGGAAGACCCAAGGAAAGCTTTTCTAGTAAATTAATCCTCTTCTTAGAAAACTAACATTTATTTTTATTGTCTTTGTCCAAGATTTTGATGAGTAAAGCAGTCTTCCTATTCAAGGGATCATAGTCTGGCAATATAAATGTGCAGTTGTACGATTATGATACAGTGTGGCAAGGACAATAAGGAACAATACATCCAGTATGTGAGATGGAAGATGAGGGAATGTCAAATCATTGGGCCAAAAGTATCAGGAAGGACTTCCCAGAGAAGTTGATGTCTGAGCTGCAACTGAAGAATAGAAATTACTTGAACGACAGACAAGTAGTTGATGGGCATTGCTGGCCAGCCAAATGGCATATGCATTGCCTTAAAGGTATAAAGTAACATGGTATGTTTGGGAGATTATAGGGAGGTCAGTGGCCAACAGAGCATGCAGGAAAGGGGGAAAGTTAGAGATGGTCATGGACAGACGAGGCAGGAGTCAAATCCTAGGAGGCCTTGTATTGTACACTAAGGAGTTTGTAGGCCAGTGATTTTCTGTATGTGCTCCTTGATACCTCCTCCCCTCCAAACCCTACAGACAGGAAGGCATCCAAGCAAGCTGCTGGGTTTTTGGAAGCCACTGATGAGTTCTGAACAAGTAGAGGGGCTGATGGGCTCAGAATGCATTTTAGAAAGACTGACTGCAGTGTGGAGGATGGATTCAAGAGCATCAAGTGTAGAGAGAGGAAGACAGTTAAGAAAGGGGAAAATGTTGAGGGTCTACACTAAGACAGCACAGTGAGTGTGGAGAGACCAGAGACTTAAGGGCAGAATCCACAGAACAGAGTATGTGGTGTGATATTTGGGAGGTGGTGTTGTTCCTTGCCATTGAGTCAGATCCGACACATGGCAACCCCACGTACACAGAATGAAACATTGCTGGTCCTGTGCCATCCTCACAATTGCTGGTACATTTGAGTACAGTGTTGGAGCCACCGTGTCAGTCCATCTCACTGAGGGTCTCCTTTGCCTTTGCTGGCCCACCATTTAACCAACCATAATGTCTCTCTCCAGTGATTGGTCCCTCCTGTTGACATGTCTAAAGTGAGCCAAAGTCTTGGACAATATTCTGTGATCCACTGGGTTGTCATTGGCTAATTTTTGGAAGTAGATTGCCAGTTGTGGTGGTTAAGATTGTGTGTCAACTTGGCTGGGCCATGATTCTCAGTGTTTATATGTGATCACTCCCGTGACTGAATGTAATATGTTAGAAGGTGGTTGTTGCTGTAAAAACTGTGTAGATTTTTATACCATTGCTTGTTGCTGTTAGTTGCTGCTGAGTCCATTCAGACTTATGGCGACCCCATGTGTTTCAGAGTAGAACTGCTCCATAGGGTTTTCAAGGCTGTGACCTTTCAGAAGCAGATTGCCAGGCCTTTCTTCCAAGGCACCTCTGAGTGGGTTCAAACTGCCAACCTTTCGGCTAGTAGTTGAGAGCACTTAACCATTTGCGACACCCAGGGACTCCAGATACCACTGTTAAAAGCTAAGTATTTCCAGTAGCTGTTGTCCCTCTGATTGGGATGGTTTTTTTTCCTCTCCAAAGTCCAGATCCCTCCTTGTTGTTGTTGCAATGGCCCCATGCCCGGTCATGCTCCAACCCCATGATCAGTTGGGAATCGGACCGTTGTGATCCACAGGGTTCTCATTGGCTGATTTTCAGAAGTAGATCTCCAGGCCTTTCTTCCTAGTCCATCTTAGTCTGGAAGCGCCTATAAAACCTGTTCAGAATCATAACACCGCACAGGCCTCCATTGACAGACAGTGAGGTGCATTGGTAGAGAATCAAACCTGGGTCTCCTGCATGGAAGACGAGAATTTTAGTACTGAGCTACCATTGCCCTCAGATCCTTTCTAGAGGAGTTTAAGTATTCCTTCTTCCATAAAACTGTCCCAGACCTTTGCAGTGAAAAGTCATTTTCCTCCACCCAACCCTAAAGCGCTGTGTGTCTGCCCTTCTTGTGTCATTTGTCACTTTCTAGCTTGCCCCGAGTTGCTTGTCTGCATAACGGGTCTGAGAGTCGCTGCCTCAGAGGCTGGGGCTGTGTGTTCTCTAAGTCTCTGTGTCTCCAGAGTAAATAATAACATAGTGGCTTGCACCTAGAAAATGCTTAGTACATTGGAATAAAAGAATGTTCCGATTTGATAAGGATCTGAATATGCATCGTGACAGTTCATAATATCAGTGATAACATCCATAAAGTTTTAGAAGTTAAGTAAATTTTGAAACGTTGACCTGTGTAAAACATAGCATCTTAATACTTTCTGATCATTGCGGCACAGTGTTAAAAATATTCTTATTTTTCGAAATAAAAAATTGTAATTGTAATTTTGAAAGGCACCCTGGCGGCACAGTGGTTACATGCTCACCTGCTAACGGAAAGGTCGCAGTTGGAACCCAGTAGCCGCTCCATGGGAGAAAGATGTGGCAGCCTGCTTCCATAAAGATTACAACCTTGGAAACCCTATGGGACAGTTCTACCTTGTCCTATAGGGTTGCTATGAATTGAGATCCACTTGATGGTGATGGGTTTGGTTTGGTTTTGGGTTTAATTGTAATTTTAGGGAAAAACATGAAATCAATTAAAGCTGCCTTTTCAGGGATCCCAGCAGATTATCTTGGTGTCATTCCTGGCGTCTGTGTTGTTCTATTGTTTAGCAGCTAGGAGCTCTCTAAACGAGATAACGTGCTACACTGGATAATAAGTGCATCAGAACGAGCTTTCTAATTTCCCTTAGAATAAAACAGTTTCTTCTCAAGATATTAGAAGTAAGAGATTGCTTCAGAGCTTATTGTTGTTGTTAGGTACTGTCAAGTCAGTTCTGACTCACAGCGACCCTGTGCACAAAAAACAGACACCGCCCGGTCTTGCGCCACGCTCATAATCATTGTTATGCTTGAGCCCATTGTTGCAGCCACTGTGTCAATCTATCTCGTTGAAAGTCTTCCTCTTTTTCACTGACCCTCTACTTTACCAAGCATGATGTCCTTCTCCAGAGACTGATCCCTCCTGATAACATGTCCAGAGTATGTGAGATGTAGTCTTGCCATCCTTACTTCTAAGGAGCATTGTGGTTGTACTTCTTCCAAGACTGATTTATTCATTCTTTTGGCAGTCCACGGTAAATTCAGTATTCTTCACCAATACCATAATTCAAAGGCATCAGTTCTTCTTCAGTCTTCCTTATTTGTTGTCCAGCTTTCCCGTGCATATGAGACGATTGAAAACACAATGGCCTGGGTCAGGCGTACCTTAGTCCTCAAGGTCACATCTTTGCTTTTCAACACTTTAAAGAGGTCTTTTGCAGCCGATTTGTCCAATGCAATGTGTCTTTTGATATCTTGACTGCTGATTCCATGGGTGTTGATGGTGGATCCAAGAAAAATGAAATTCTCGACACCTTCAGTGTTTTTACTGTTTATCATGATGTTGCTTATGGTCCAGTTGTGAGGATTTTTGTTTTCTTTATGTTGAGCTTATAGGGTATACATAAAAGTCATTATAGAGAGCTGGTTCCGATTATAAAATTAAATGCTGCTGGCGGGGCAAAAACACCCTCAGAGGAAGTAATGGTGACAGACACCTTAGTCCTTTATGTCCACTTACTCCACAAAATGAAGGGTAGCGCTTAGCACACACGTGTACGCAGTAAGTGGTCTGCAAGTCAATCCCACAAACACATGTCCATGCGCTGGGTCTGTTTCATTCGGATATTTACATCTCACTTTTTAACAACTAGTGTTTCAAGGAGTGCTTCCCTGGGTGGTGCAAACAATTAGGTGCTCCACCAGGAGCCGAAAGATTGGTGGTTGAAACCCACCTGAGGAACCTTGGAAGAAAGGCCTGGCGATTCACTTCTGAAAAAATCAGCCATTGGAAACCCTGTGGAGCACAGTTCTCCTCTGACACACATGGGGTCGTCATGAGTCAGAGCTGACTCAGCAGCAACTCATACTGGTCCAGTTTGATGAGCGCTTCTGGTTTACACAGCATTTTCATGCACAGTATCTCCATAAGGCCACAAAATCATAAAACCGAGGCTCATCCTCAAGCCTTCTCGTTCCACATCTGGCTCTGTCAGAACAAAGCGATACAGCACAGTGAGCAACTCGCAGGCTTTGTAGAGGGGGAGTGAGTCGGAAGGCCTCATGAGTTCACATCCTGGGCTGGAGGAAGCAGTGGAATAGAGCGGAAATAACAAGGATCTTGGAGTCAGAAGGACATGGGTTCAAATCCCAGTTCCACTACTTTCTAGCTGCATGTGACACTGGGCTAGTTATTTAACTTCTCTGTTCCTCAGTTTTCTCATCTATAAAATGGGGCTGTCAGGCCCTTCATTGGGCTATTGTGAAAATTAAAAGCTCTAATCACAATGTACATAATATGCTCAGCACGGTGCCTCACTGCCTCTTGATAAATGGCGATCAGGATTATTATAACAGTGATGATTATCTTTCCACTAAAACATTGTTTTACCAAGTGTCTTCCATGAAACCTTCGGGTTAGCGGCTGAGTGTGTTAACCGTTTGTACCACACAGGGGCCCTCAATCAAACTATAAGTTAGAATTAACGCTTTAGTTTATTTAGTTTATTTTAGTTTATCCCTCTCTCCATCACTGCACTTCTCTTTAGAGGTGAGCCAGCGGTTCCCCACGACTCATCCAAATGGACGTCAGGTCATGCTCACCTACCTGCTCCCCTGGCTGCACAACATCGAGCTGGTGGACAGCAGGCTCCTGCTCCCGGGCTCCAGCCCCAGCAGCCCGGAGGACGACACCAAGGACCGGGAAGGGGAAGTGACTGCCTGCCACGGGCTGAAAGGGAGTGGCTGGGGCTCTCCTGAAGCCACCTCGCTGGTCCTGAATAACCTCATGTACATGACGGCCAAGGTAAACCCAGAGAAGACGCGTCGTCTTAAACACAGGTCTGTCATCAGAGGAAAGCCAGGGGGATGGAACCCCTGGTCCAAACCCAAGGAAAATGGCATTTATCCTTGAAAGTTGCATGAATATAATTTGTAAAACGATAGTGGTGTTGATTGCACAGCATGATGATCATAATCAATGTCACTGAATTATACATACAAACACTGTTGAATTGGCAGACATTTTGTTATATATGCTGTTACCACAATAAAAATAAAAAATAAGAAAGCTTTATCTCAGGGCAGCACTTTCAAGGATTTATCCAGCCTCCATGGCTCCAGAAAGTCTGAATTCCATGAGAATTTGAAATTCTGTTCTGCATTTTTCCCATTTTGATAAGGACTATTTCCCTGAGGTAATATTTAAACCTCTAACCAAAAATATGCCCTGAAGTCTTCTTTAAACCAAATAGTACTTTAGCTTATCTGGTAAAGAATGTCTGCCTTGAGCATTGTGCTATTTAAGAACTGTCTATATGGGATCAAACTGACAACAGCAACTCAAAAGATTAGTTTGGATAGGAAGCTTAGGGGACAGTGAGTTCATGCTAATGAAGGAGAAACAGTTCAGAAAAAGAGGGTGAGAATGGTTGCACAATTCAATGGATGTAATCAATGTCACTGAATTGTACCAGTAAAAATTGTTGAATTGGTGTATGTTTCGCTGTGTATAGTCTCAAAAACCAAAAAGAAAGAAAGCTTAAAAAAATTGCATGACTAGCTGTTTCTCTTCCTAAGCGGGGCATTAGAGTGTCATCTACCAGAAAATGTCTTTCTAAAGAACGGCCACGCGTCCCCCTTCTTGTGATTTCAAGATGGCAATGACGCTAACCACCACTCTTCGCCAAACGTTGGCTCCCTCGCGCTTGTTGCCCACGCTTCCCCTGAGCCTGCTTCTGTTTTGTGCTGTAGTACGGAGACGAAGTCCCTGGGCCGGAAATGGAGAACGCTTGGAACGCCTTAGCCAACAACGAGAAGTGGAGCAACAACCTGAGGATAACCCTGCAGTTTCTTATCAGCCTGTGTGGGGTCAGCAGTGACACAGTCCTCTTGCCCTATGTAAGTGCCCCGAGGGCTTTCGGGAGAGCTGTCCCGCCTGCTCGTGGTTCCGTTTGCAATGTGCACGTCAGAATGCGCGCTCTGCTCCAGCTAACATAGAGGTGTCAGGGTTTGTTAGTCACTCTCCTCTCCTGGGGGCACTTGCCTTAGCTGCCTGGTGCTGCTATAACAGACGTACCACGAGTGGATGGCTTTAACTAACTGAAATTTATTCTCTCATGGTTTAGGAGAGTAGAAGTCTGAATTCAGGGTGTCAGCTCCAGGGGAAAGCTTTCTCTCTCTGTTGGCTCTGGGGGAGGCCCTTGTAATCAATCTTCCCCTGGCCAAGAAGCTTCTCAGCACAGGGACCCGAGGTCCAAGGACGCACTCCACACCTGGCTCTTCTTGCTTAGATGTAAGGAGGTCCCTCTCCTTTCTGCTCAATTCTCTCTTTTATATCTCGAAAGAGATTGACTCAAGATATGACCTAATCCTATAGGTTGATTCCTGCGTCATTTACATAACTGCCTCTAATCCTGCCTCATTAACATCACAGAGGTTAGGATTTACAGCACATAGGTAATTATATCAGATGACAAAATGGTGGACAACCACACAATACTGGGAATCATGGCCTAGCCAAGTTGGCACATACGTTTGGGGGACACAGTTCAATCCACAACAGCGTGACTACGTGTAACGTAGGGGTCCTCTTCTGCTTCCTGAGAGCCAGGCTGCAGTGAGTGTGCTGGTGATGCCTCTGTCGTACTCTGTCTCTCAGCCCTTAGACACAGAAACATGTGAATTAAGGTACGAATATTTTCTGTCAGTTACCAAATGCTAACTTTTATAAACATCTGCCACATTATATAAGAGAAACATTGAGAGCTGGGCAAAACATTATACTGTAACTAATAAGGCATCCCTGGGTGGCACAAGTGGCTAACATGCTTAGCTGCCAACTGAAAGGTCACTGTCTTAGTCATCTAGTGCTGCTATAACAGAAATACCACAAGTGGAAGGTTTTAACAAAAAGAAGTTTATTTGTTTACAGTAAAGTAGGCTAAAAGTCCAAATTCAGGGCGTCAGCTCCAGGGGAAAGCTTTCTCTCTCTCTTGGCCTTCTCATCAGTGTTCCCCCAGACTAGGAGCTTCTCGGTGCAGGGACCCCAGTCCAAAGGACGTGCTCTGCTCCTGACACTGCTTTCTTGATGGTGTGAGGTCCCCAACTCTCTGCTTGCTTCCCTTTCTTTTTATCTCTTGAGAGATAAAAGGTGGTGCAGGCCACACCCCGGGGAAACTCCCTTTACATTGGATCCAGGGATGTGACCTGGGTAAAGGTGGTGTTACAATCCCACCCTAATCCTCCTTAACATAAAATTACAATCACAAAATGGAGGCCAACCACACAATTCTGGGAATCATGGCCCAGCCAAATGGATACACACATTTTTGGGGGGACATAATTCAAACCATGGCAGTTAGAGATGTGAGCCCACCCAGAGGCACTTCGGAAGAAAGGCCTGATGATGCACTTTCAAAAACTCACCCACCGTTGAAAACCCCATGGAGCACAGTTCTGCTCTGACACATGTGGGGTCACTAAGTCAGAGCTGACTCAACAGCAGCTGATAATGATTATGACGAATAAAAATGTTTCATGTTTACATTTTGATGTAAACAGAATAAAATGTTGTCTTCAAATTTAGATGGCAGAAGAGAGAAATAAGCAGAAAGCAATTCTCTTTAGATGTCAGATAGCTAGTGTTTGTATTTAAAGGTGATATGATCAACAAAAATGGCAGCATTTTTTAACTGTAACTCAGTTGGCATTTCTGTGCTGGTTGTTGTTCTGAGACATTTTATGCCTCCCTGTTGCTTTAAGCCACGTGAGCTTAGCTACAGCCTATGTGCCTCGGGCTTGACTACGAAGTCCATGATCACCTCGAGCTTATTTTGAATAATCCAGAGTTATTTTTAAAATTTAAAACCATAAAAACCGCTCAGATGAGTTTGTTTCTAGGGGGAAAGAGAATAGCACGGGACTGGATTCCTTTTTAAACAAAAGTAGCTGGCAGTTTCTTCCCGCGGTTTGTATAAATAACATTCTTTCTTAAGAGCTTAGATGCCAAGTTTTCCGTTTAGAGAGAATCCACGTGCCCTGAAAGTAACGTCCTTACTCTCAGCTGTTAGAGAAGGTAAAGCGTTTAGAACAACTCACTCCGCTCAGGTGTGCATGTGAAGACAGGTGCGTTGTAATCAAAATACTTGGTTTATCCTCAGAGAGCGCACAGATTGGCTGTCAGGAATATCAAATGTGAATGATACTTTATTGGCATTTAGCCCCAAATCTATGACTCCGGGGTGATGACGCATTCTTCAGAATGAGTGGGTGTCTTCTTTGCTTTCAATAGCTTCACATTCTTGCGGACTGTCGTCATGGTTGTTAGCTGCCGTTGAGTCGATTCCAGCTCATGGCAACCCCATATACAACAGGATGCAGTGTTGCCTGGTCTTGCATCATCCTCACCGTCGCCAGCATGTTCAAGGTCATTGTTGTGGCTGTCATGCCAATCCATCTCACCCAGGGTCTCCCTCGCCCTCGCTAGCCCTCTACTTCACCAGTCATGTTGATTGATCCCCCCAATGACGTGTCCAAAGTGAGCGAGTCAGACAATATTCTGTTGTCATCCATAGGGTTTTCATTGACTAATTTCCAGCCTTTCTTCCTCGTCTGTCTTAGTCTGGAAGCTCCACTGAAACCTGTCCACCACAGTGAACCTGCTGGTATTTGAAATACCGGTGGCATAGCTTCCAGCATCACAGCACCACGCAAGCCAACACAGTACGACAGACTGACAGATGGTGGTGGACTTGCGAATGAGACACTGGGAAACAGCCCTTGTTTTCTTTTTATCTTCTCAGATTAAAAAGGTGGCCATATACCTGTGCCGTAACAACACCATGCAAACCATGGAAGAGCTGCTCTTTGAGCTGCAGCAGACGGAGCCAGTCAACCCCATCGTCCAGCACTGTGACAACCCACCCTTCTACCGCTTTGCAGCCAGCAGCAAGGCCTCCGCTGCGGCCTCTGGTAGGACAGGGCATGGGGTAGATGTCTTGTCACATGTCCCTGGATTTCCTTCATGTCGAGCAATGAAAGGATATAAGTGTGTGTGTGTGTCCCTTTTCTCTTCTGCCTGTGTGTACATCCACGTGAGAGATGATTGGAGATGCCTGGAAGATATACCCACAGTCTCATAAGAGAGTGTCCATGTGTCATGGATTGAACTGTATCCCCCAAAAATGTGTGTGTCAACTTGGCTGGGCCATGATTCCCAGTATTGTGTGATTGTCCGCCATTTTGTCATCTGATGTGATTTTCCTATGTGTTGTAAATCCTGTCTCTATGATGTTAGTAAGGCAGGATTAGTGGAAGTTATGTTAATGAGACAGGACTCAATCTACAAGATTAGGCTGTATCTTAAGTCAGTCTCTTTTGAGATATAAAAGAGAGAAGCAATCAGAGAGACAGGGGCACCTCATACCACCAAGAAATTGCCGGGAGGAGAGCGAGTCCTTTGGACCTGAAGTTCCTGCGCAGAGAAGCTCCTAGACCAAAAGAAGATTGATGAC